GAGGCTGCCAGAGCTCCAGGAGAGTTTGGACACCACTCCAGGGATGCACAGGGTGGGATTTTGGGGGTCTGTGCACAGCCTGGGGCTGGATCAGTGATCCCAGTGGGTCCCCTCCAGCTCAGGATATTCTGTGATTTGACAGGATCATGGTTTGGGTTGGAAGGGACCTTGGTGCCTGTGTCACCCCAACCCTTCCAGCAGCCCAGGCTGCTCCAAGGCCGCTGCGCTGGTCAAGGTAACTCATTAATAGCTAAGAAAACAACGAGGTGACTCGAAAAGCACTCCAAGCATCTGGGAAATGTCACAGGGCCACACTTGACAGGAGACTCGATGTTCTAGAGATTGACTGGGCACGCGGTGACGCAAAGCTCCACTCCAGGGCCAGGAGCTGCCACTCTACAAAGGGCTTTGAGGTGAAGCACCTCGGGCTGGGGACACGGGGACCAGCTGAGCATGAGCTGGGTCCTGCAGGGCCAGAGCTGGGCTGGCAAAGTCCTGGGACAGGGGTGCTCAGTAGCACCTAAAGAGATGTTAAATCACATTGTTCACCCAGCCTTGGGGCCAAACAGAGGAGATCCGGGTTCTTCCCATCTCTCTGGGGCTGTAATAACTGGATATGTTCTGTATTAGTGCCCGTGGAGCCCATGGAATCATGGAATGGTGGGGCTGGAGGGGACTTCAATCATACTTCCTTCCAGCCCCCTGCCATGGACAGGACACCTCTGTCTCTCGTGAAAGAGAACGGTGATCATTCTGAATATTTTAACATCTGACCACTTCTTTAACTGCATTAAAGCGTGAAGATCTGGAGAGATCATCACATTTTTGATTATTTTACACTGCAGGTGAGAGGCAGCAGGGCAGAGTTTTTGCCCAGCTCTCAGGGTGCCCTGGGCAGATCACTTTGGATCTCTGATTCCAGCCTGGCGTGTTCAGGAAGAGTTTTCCATACTCCCTCCTCTCTCACCTGTGTTTCCAGTAAGTTCAGTTTTCCTTCCTCTTCACTGGTGCCTGTAAAGGGCAGAGCAGCATAACTAAGAATTAATTATCAGCAATTTGCTCTAACAAATAAACCCAAATAAAAGCCAAAAGCCACAGGCAGGACACTCGCTGTCACCCTCAGGCACAGTCCCTCTGCACAGCGCCCTGGTTTTTGTCACAGTGCTGCTGATCTGTCACCCCCAGGAGCAGAGCTGGGTTTGTCACACACGCAGAGCCTTACTCACCCAGGATGTGCTGGCCTGTCACACCCTGCTCACAGCAGGCAGCCAAATGGGGGAAATGAATTTACAGAAAATTCAGAACCCTTTTTACGGAAAATTCAGAACCCTTTTTATGGAAAATTCATAACCCTGACCCAAACCCTGCCCTGAAATGATGTTTGGGTTTTGCCCAAGGGCTGCTGCTGGGGAGATGCTCCTGGAGCTGCTCCCTGGACACGGCAGCCTGAGGACTCCTGAGAACTCCTGAGAGCTCCAGCAGCACCTCAGAGCGGGGCAGGGAGGGACAGAAGGAAAAGGAGACAAGATTTGCAAGCTGGAGCTGCTTAACTGATTTGTTATTTATAAAACACCAACTCAGCGCAGCCAGCCTCGCTCAGACCTTGTTCTGGCACATCAAATCCTTGTTCTCATGCAGAAAAAGCTGCAGCTCCTCTGGCTGAAGGTTGAGTGGTGCCAGGGTGTGTTTTTCTGGAGCTGGGGGCTCACAGAGAGCACACGCCCTGCCAAGGCCCCTCCTGGTCCCAACTGTGTGAACAGAAAATATTCATGGGTTTGGCAAATCCTGAAAGATTCACCCAGGCTTTATCAATGAAAACTAAATATTGCAAAGGCCTTTGAGGCCTTCACGTGAATGGGATGTCAAGACAATTAACCATGATTTTCTAGGTCTGATTTTGGACTACCTGGATTTCAAAATATTCCCTGCTATTACTGGGATGTGGCTTTGCTGTGGCCTTTTTTTGCAGCGTGTGGCAACAAGAGAAGCAGAGGAGAATGGTGTTTTTGGATCACTCTGTATTCCCTTCCATCCTGGGAATGCTCCATCCATCACCTTCCAGGGCTGATGGTTAAATCTTGTAAAATTTTCAGTGCTTGGAATGAAATATTCCTTGCTGAAATTCAAGGTGCTAATACCCAAAATCAGTTAAAATGTTTTTCCTCAGCAGAACACAACCAGCTGTTTCTTTCCTTAGAAAAGCAGTTGTATTGCTTTCTTTCTTTTATTTTACTTGGCCTGGGCATTGATTTCTGCAGCACAAATCCCCCCAAAAAAGAGGAGAATCAGCTCCATGAGAGGTGTCCTGCAGGGGACAGGAGGGGGACCAAGGAACCTGCTGAGAGCTGGGGCCAGATCATTAAAGAAGAAAAGTTTTCATGTAGACACCAACTCTTTTTCAAGGCCTCCTGAATTCTGGCTGCCAATTCTCTGCTCAGGAGTGGAACTGACAGCCCAGACCCTGATTTTCCTGTCAGATCCCTGATTTTTAGATAAGCTGCCTGAGCTGTGCCAGTGTTTTTCCAGCCCAGGTGAAACAAATTCTTGGCAGCAAATGAAAACCAGAGCAAAGCATGAAAGGCAGGCAAGTAGCAACTGGAGTGCTGGTTTTACCCAAGTGGGGGAACTTGGGGAATGCTCCATCAGGTATCAGGATGTGCAAATGTCAGGCAGCGAGCTCAGCTCTCGCTGAGAGGTGGAGTTATTTCAGAAAGTCTTTTATCTCATTTTTTAATCACCAAATCCATGTTTTCCTTCTCATTTTCTCTGTTGCTTCACAGGGCCATTGATGGGGAGCCTGTTCTTCTCTGCCCCAAGCAGGAACAGGATCAATAATTAAATTTTAATTGAGGCTGCAGCAGAAATTAACTCTCAGCCACATCAAACCCCCGATTCTGAGGTCGTGGGACAGATCAGAGCTGGGGAGAATTTGGGTGACTGAGGTTCACCCCCATTTTTAGTGCTCTAAAAAAGTCGTGTTACTTGTTACTCCTGGGTCCTCATAGCTGAAAGAGCAGCACATTTGCAAACCATCAGGCTGCAAAAGGAGAACCTTTCTCTACATTTCTAAATGTCTCTAAGCTTCTAAATGTGAAGTTAAAGT